ACAAACAAGACTACTGGAATCAGGCGAGTATAAATCGAAATACCTACCTACGTCCAAGTAACAATCTATTTTTATATTCTTTCTGTAACTCTATAGGAACCTTGAGTGTATGTGAAACGAGAGACTGATTATTTTTGTATGTGTGAACTCGAAATCCTTCAGTAAAAGTATTATTTTGTTTTGGAAAAACACCCGTGTGGTCTCCTTTACTGGAACTCTTGAGTTCAGACACAACCCTGGTATAGCTGGCCAAGTACTCACGTTAAAAACATAGTTAGCCATCTTCTGTAGATAAAGCATTTGGCTTAACAGATGGGTGCCGCACCACTGAAGGAGAGGCCCCACACCACTTGGCCCTCCCAGCGGCTTTAGAAGCCAGGGGGTGAAGATGGGCCAGCGGCGGGTGGCACACCACCGAAGGAGAGGCCCCACACCACCCGGCCCTCCTGGAGGCCTCCCAGCGGCCTCAGAAGCCAGTCTGTTGTGGGACAAAATACAACGGGCTGTAGACGGGTCGTTCTCCACCTCCTGGTGAAGGAGAGTGGAGCGGCTCGCCACCTCCGGCTGACACACCTACCAGGTTCTGGAGCGGCAGCAAGCGAGGGAGTCCTGCCGGGGCCTGCGGCCTGTGCAAGGCACCGCAGCTGCAGCGCCGCCATGATCCATTCTTGGGCCTGCAGGGCAAGCAAGCTGCCATGGCTGCTGCCGCCTCCTGGCCACTGCGGCTCTCCCCCCAACTCTCTTACCAGGTGCCAGAGCGGCAGTGAAAGAGGAAGTCCTTCTCAGGCCGCCATCATCCCTTCTTGGGCCTGCAGGGCAAGGAAGCCCATGCTGTTACTGCCTCCTGCCCACCATGCCACCGCTATGAGGGGTCTCGGCCTCTGGACCCTCCACCCGCTGGAGCGTCTGGGCTGTCCGTTGGCTCCCAGAAGACTGAGGCCGAGACGTTGGGTGGGATGAAGGCAATGCAGCCAGTGGCCAGGGACCCGCTTGTGAGTGGCAGTTCAGGCAGCCAACCGATTTTGGCACGCATCGAATCTTGCCACCCTAAAACAGCATTATTACATAGAGAGATTATTTATTCAATTAATACCCCATGTGTCCCCACCAAGGCAAACTCAGGGCGGCTTCTTGATTCTTCACTTAAGAAACTTTGGTACCTTAA